AACTGAGCCAAAGATATTTAACAGCTTAAAATTATTAAATGGCTCCCTGTTCCCTGCAATGTATAGTCTTAATTTCCTTTCTGACTTTTAAGATCCTTCATGACACAGCCCCTACTTACCCCTCCAGCTTATGCCCCACTTCCCTCCAAAACTACCTGTGGCCCCACACTAAGTTACTTGCATCTTAATAAAACCCACCACATGCTTTCATTACTTTGTGCCTTTTCACATCTTTGAGTTTTAAATCAAATGTCTCCTCTGTAAAGCACCTCTAATACACACCAAACACACTTAGGTATTTCTCTCTGCTCCTATAGCATCATTTGCTCTATTCTAGATTTGTCATGATGTGGTAGTTATGATGCTTACCTACAAGACTATGATGTTTATCCTACTAGACTTTAATATACAGACTGTATGTTATTCATCTTTTTATCCCTAGCAGATAGCACAGTACCTATTTAACAAAGACTTTTTTGCATAATTAAAAAATAGAGACTCCTAACATTTATGCTTTTAGGATCTAAGCATCCCTAAAGTAAGCATACACAATGACAAACTAGATTCAAGGAATCCTTTAAAATATTTCAAAGATTTAAAAAATCCTATAAAATGACTCTTCCATAAGTCAAATAATTAAAAATCTAGATTTTTAAATATTAAATTTGGTTGAAATGCGGTCCTCTTAGAAATATTTATGCCCCACAATATTACCATAAGAATTAAAAATTTTAGGGACTTCCCTGGTGGTCCAGTGGTTAAGACTCTGTGCTTCCAATGCAGGGGCTGCGGGTTCAATCCTGGTCAGGGAACTAAGATAGGTCGTGGCCAAAAAAACTAAATAAATAAATTATATATATATATGAATATTACTTATTATATTGAAAAATAAAATTAATAGAATTATTACAGAAACTTGTAGCAAGTAAGGGAAAATTACAAATTTATATTTTAATCCCTATTCCGTGAATTCAAGTCACAAATGCACATCTACAGTTTTCACCTTGCTTTCAGTTCTCAATCAAATACCATATTGTAGGAGCCCTCATGATCCACTGCAAAGGAAGTAGTTCAAAGAATGTTTACATTTTCAAAAGTTTAATTTGGCTTGGACCATCATACTAGCAAAAAGATTTCATTATAGCATTATTTTAAGATTGAAAAAGTGGAATTACTAAAATATTAAAAGACAGAATAGAGAACAAACGTATGGACACCAAGAGGGGAAAGTGGGGGGGGGGGTGTGGGATGAATTAGGAGATTGGGATTGACATGTATACACTAATATGTATAAAATAGATAACTAATAAGAACCTGCTGTATAAAAAATAAAATTCAAAAAAATAAAAGAGTAATGGTTAAATAAACTGTGACAGTACAACTTTGGACTACTACAAAATGATAAAATATAGCAATATGTATTACAATATTATGTTTAAAAAGACAATTGTATGAACATTAGCCACAGAATTATACGCAAGTATAGACAGGATTAGTATAGTATTATACTAATATACTATAGAGGACTTCCCTGGTGGCGCAGTGGTTAAGAATCCACCTGCCAATGCAGGGAATACAGGTTCGAGCCCTGGTCCGGGAAGATCCCACGTGCCGCCGAGCAACTAAGCCCGTGCACCACAACTACTGAGCCTGTGCTCCAGAGCCCGCGAATCGCAACTACTGAGCCCACGTGCCACAACTACTGAAGCCCGCGCGCCGAGAGCCCGTGCTCCGCAACAAGAGAAGCCACCGCAAGGAGAAGCCTGCACACCACAACGAAGAGCAGCCCCCTCTCGCTGCAACTAGAGACAGCCCACGCGCAGCAACGAAGACCCAACGCAGCCAAAAAAATAATAAAAATAATAAAGAAAACCTTACTTAAAATATATATATATATATATAATAGAAGTATAACAGAACTAGACTACAGAAAATTGTAAATGTAAGCAGGGAGAATTCATTTCTTTCTTTTGAATTTCTCTTAATCATGTTATATTCTTTTCCACTAAAAAGTTAGTTTTCAAATAGTACATGAAGAGAATTGTATTACATTTACTTACTTATATGTATTATGTACTGACATAAATTTAAACAAAAACTTTAAGTTTAAAAACTACCTAATTTTTTCCCACAAAATACTAAGTTTTAAATTTCAAATAATAAAGTTATCTGATTTTGGAATTTCCTACAATCTGATGCTAAAGACCTACCCTTTTACACCAGCTATACTATGTAAACTCATTCCCCACGTTTTAACACTTTTAGAGTAACTCCAATTCCCACAAGGCATCCCATCACTGCAAGTCTGTCAAACTGACAATCTTAAAAAGGAGGTACAACTTGTGGTACCAGCACAGAGAAGATAAAATTTTAATTCATATACTATGAAAGCTTATTTGCCCTTACTAAGTTTCAGCAGATACATTATACTGGAAATACAAATTAAAACAAATTCCATTTGCAAATCAAAAAGACCAAATGAAACAACCTGCCTCTGACTCAGCAGCTTTTTTACTTTACAACCTGTACTTAAGTTGCAAGGATAAGACTGAAACCTAACTTTCAAACTGAGAAGTAAAACCAGTGCAAAATCAATATTTGTCTTGGCAGGAAACTCCAATAAAAATATGAGATGTTTTGGTCTCAACTTGAGATATAGAAAAGCAAAGGTGCCTCCTTGGGTTATTATTTATCATGCAAAATCCCTTGTCTATAGCTACAAATTAGCTTTTATTGCAGATACTTAACATGTTTCTTTATAGGCAGCGCCTCAGCCAAATAACCTTCCAAATCTGGCACCATGAATTGTTACAGCTTACACACCACTGCAGTTCCTTGTAATTTAAAACATTTGCGTTTTAAGAACAGTCTCCACACACCAACTCTACTGCCAATTTCTCCAGCTGAAAGCTCGAGTTTATACTACAAAATACTATATTTACTCTCAACGACAGAATGCGCTCATTTACAAATTACACAAGAGTAAATGACTCCAATACACAACTTAAAAATGTCTAACATCATACCTTTTCCATTATCCAAATTAACAAGTCTAAACAGCAGTACACTAAGTGAGGTACTATGACCAAAGTTAACTGCCATATCATCAGTTCAGTAAAATCAGTAATACACAAGACAGACCCCTAATCCCAATCAACTATTTAGCAAAATGGCCACAGGGGATACCAATGAGGGGAAAGTGTGGATTGAGTTTGCCATTACTAGAAAAACGAGTCAAAGCAAGTCTGTACGAGAGGCAGATTAACCTCATGAATACAAATCTAAATTCATTTCTGAGTTCCAGTCTCACACCAAGAAGGCAGTTTATCAAATTTTTAACAGTAACACAAAGAACAGGGCAAAAAATAAAATAGAGAACTTTTTTTTTCATGGTAACGTTGATAAAGAACAGGTATCCTTCAATGCTCAGAAATGAATTTTTCCTTTTACAACCAGTTTTTCTCTTATCACGTGTACACAGAAAATCCTACAGTTCTCTGCATTTCAGATAGCTTAATACACACGATCACCTCAAATCAAATATTTATTGAAAACTTACCTCCTTAGCACAAACATTCTCTCCTTACTACATCCTTCGCCTTCTAAACTGAGACCGGAAGGGAAAACCTACTCCTACGATAAATTAGAGTCTAGGGAGAACATCTTAACACGAGTTTGCACACAATTAAGCAGGTTCAGTAAATCAATTACCCAGACTACAATGCTTGACAATTTCTCTGAAGCAAAAACACACAGCTTAGGGTTCATTACTGGAGATGACTCTTTCCCTCGCATTTACACAAGTAACTTCGGTAACTGCCCTAAATTTTCCCGTGTGAAACAAACAGTTAATAGGAAGGAGGGGGAGTACTATTTAAAAACTGGGTCATTTCCTATGTATTCTGATGAAGTACGATCTTCGAGAAGGAAAAGGTCTATGAAGCAGAAAAAGAAAAGGAGGGGGGAATAGATGACAGCATCCTCAATGCAGAAAAGTTACAGCTCTTTACTGGAGTCAGCAATAGGGGCTCATTAGTTGGTTTTTTGGTTTAGTCACTCGGAGTTGAATGAAACCTGCCTTCCTAAAAGTCATCGCCAACAAAGAAGCCCTGAGGATCCGCCACGGCAAGGCGGAGGAGGAAATGTCCTCAATTCACCTGAGACACCTGCCCAGGTCCCCAGTTCTCTCCCTGCCCTGGCCCCCAACCCCCTCGGGTACCCCGGTCCACGCCCCTTGCCCCCCACCCAGGCGGCAGTCTCCTCGGCGGTCCCGAAGGCCCAGACCCCTCGCGCTTCCTTCCACCGCAGTGGCTCTCCGCAGCCGGGGCGGCGGCACGGGGAGGCCCTTCCCGAGCGGCCTCTCCCCCATCACACCCCGCAGGCTCCGGGGACTCCCCGCCCCCGGAAACCGCAGAGAAACTAGGCCGAGAATGCCAGTCCAGGCCACTCTACGCCTTCTCGGCGACCCCTGCACGCCGGCCCTCGGAACCCAGCCCTCCGAGCTGCTACCTGCCCAGCGCCCACCCGGCCCGGGAGCGCGGGTCTAGATGACGGGCGGCGCAGGGTTCCTCCGCGAAAGGCCCTCCGCCGCAGACTCACCTGCCGCCCGCTCCTCCTTCAGCGCCACCCGGGCACAGCCCCTTCCTGGGGCATGAAAGCGCCGGCTTCGGGCCTGGGCGCCCTCGACAGGGAAGGGCCGGGGATTTGCTCTGGCGGCCGCCGCCGCCACTGCCGCCACCACCGCCGCTCTGCGCCTGCGCCGCCTCCCGGGCTGGGTCTCGAGGGGCGCCGCTTGCAACGAGGGGTAACAGCCGGGAGCGTGAGCTCGCGCCGGCGCCTCGGCTCACCCGAGGCCGGTAGTGCGGGCGGCGGGTTGCCTAGGAGCTGCGTGCTGCACTGCTGCCCCGACAGCTGACGGCCATGTTTCTGTTCCCTTTTTCTTTTTTTCTCCCTCTCCTTCCGCCCCTTTCCACAGAACAGCACTTTCCTTCCCCCCCTCCCGCTCCCTTTCCTACTGCGGGGGCGGTGGAAAAAGGCGTGGGGGAGGGGTGGGGAAGGGAGGACGCGGGGGCGGGGCAGCGCTCGAGCCCCGCCCCCGGGGAGGGCCGAGGCTGCACGGCCACTGCTCCCCTCCCCCACGCACCCCGCCGCGACACCCTCAGGGCGCGGGGGTGCCAGTGCCGACAGCCCGTGAGCCCCGCCTCCGCGTGCGCGCGGCGGGTCCCGAGTAGAAACAGAGCCAGGGAGAAAGGACTCAAGGTACTGCTTTGCACCCCTTCCTGCGGCTCTCAGACTCGCCTGTGGTGCGGCTTTATTGCCTTGGCCTCAAGCAGGTGGCGGCTGATCTTTTCCGGTTTTTCAAAGGCGAGGAAAGGGACTCCGAGTCCCTCAAAGTCACTGAGGACAGTGCTGAGAGAGACGCAGGTCTCTGGATGAGAAGTTTCCTTCCCAGGATGGGAGTTGGAATTCCCACGTATGACAGAGGGCCTCTCAGGCAGTAGAGAGACCCGCCGACTGGGGCTTGCCTAAGTCCTTCCTGGCTGCAGCGGCCCTTCAGAGTCCTTGACCGCGCTCGGTGTCGCTACCTCGGCAGAGATTTGGGGATGGGAACTCGGTACTTGGAAATTGCTCGTTTAAATAATCAGTCCTCTCAGGCCTCCTAAATAACTGTAGCCTCCTTATCCACACGGCTGCGTGCATGGTCCGTTCCCTTAATGCAAACTTTATGAGATATTGTTAACTACGCTTTGAAATAATTATATATATGTAATTATATATACATGGAAAAATAACAACTAGTTATTCAGGAAGAAGCAAATGGTTTGAAACAAATTAGGAGAACTCTTTTACCTCCTGGCAAAAAAAACTGGCTAGTGACTTCACAGATTCCATGGCAGGTCAGAATTAGAATTGGCAAGATTTGTGCACTAACGATGAGTACATAATGATCATTTTCCTGAGAATTACTCTCTCCTTATTAAATCTGTATTTTTGCTGAAAAGTATGAGATTAAACCTCGGTCATGAGGGTCCTGTTGTCAACTTACTTCCAAAGTTTATTGCTTATATGGATAGTTTAAATTTTGTAGCGAATAGCAGAAACTATTTCCCTGACCACGTTAGCAGTAAGAACTGATTCAGTAGAAAGAAACAGCAATAAAAAATGTCTTATTTAATAATAGTTTGGAGTCATTCTGAGCCTAGTGGAAACCAGTCTTTGACAGTGACCATCTGGACCGAAGTTTATAAAGGAACTAATACTTCAGAATTCAGCTTGTTGACTTCTTGTCCTTCCTTTCTCAAGGGCAAGTTAATTAATAGTTTAAAATCATTTACAAGATTTTGTAATGGGTACATTTTATTAACAGTCATAGATTGAGGCGTTTTCCCCTCTTTTCACAGTTTTTTGCACCCACAGAAATGAAAAATGGAAGAAACCAGTATATCTCTTCCATTTGATTGAGAAATTTTTCTCAATTTGCAGTGTAGGATTTAAGGATGTCTTTAATTTTTTTTCACTATTTTAATTGTCCTATAGATTTACCATACATTTCCATTGCCATATTCTACCCAAAATTTCATAGAATGAACTTGTATGTTTGGGGTCTAATTTTTTGTCTAAGGTAGCTATTAAGTCTGAAAGTCCTTGAGTCAGCAGCAGCCTTTTCAACTGCACTCTTATGGACCCAGGGCTAAAATAAGTTCCTCTTAATTTTTAACACATATTTACTGTCTAAAAAGTGGGAAGGGAGCTGGAGAGCCCAACATAGCATAACATATAGCATAATTGTTTTCGTGATGGTAACACAGTTTCCATTGAGTCTGTATAGATACAAGAATGCATAAAAGAATCAGCCCACTGAAGAGGGGCATACAGACGTCAGACTGGGCATGGTCAATTTCTGCAGACTTCTGCAGATCAGCAGTGCAAAGGAGTTGAATGGAAACGTTGAAATTTTTCTTAAAATAAGCAAGATGTTTTAGGCAGACATCTTCAGTGCTGCAGCAGCCACGTTATTTTCATCTTCCTAGTTGTTGTCTTCAAAAACTCCTAAACATTGCTTTTCATAGAAATATTCAAAGACCTTTATACTACTATGCTTTTTTTGTTATGCTCACTAGTTTTATTTTTTAGGTTCCACATATAAGTGATAACATATAGCATTTGTTACCATTATCTATTGTCAGATTTCTCTATCTGACTTAATTCACTAAGCATAATACCCTCTAAGTCCATCCACGTTCCTGCAAATGGCAAAATTTCATTCTTTTTTATGGCTGAGTAGTATTCCACTGTGTGTGTGTGTGTGTGTGTGTGTGTGTGTGTGTGTGTGTGTATCACGTCTTTATCCATTCATTTGTTGATGGCCACTTAGGTTGCTTCCATATCCTGGCAATTGTACATAGTGCTGCTTTGAACATTGGGGTGCATGTATCTTTTGAATTAGTGTTTTTGTTTTCTTCAGATATATAACCAGTAGTGGGATTGCTGGATCATATGGTAATCCCACTTTTAGTTTGTTGAGGAACCTCCATACTGTTTTCCACAGTGGCTGCGCCAATTTACATTCTCATGAACAGCCCTGTGATAGCTTATGTGTATTCACATGTCACATTTTCTTCCAAATCCCCAGTACCTAGCAGAATATCAAGTACATGATAGGCTCTCAAAAAGTACTTGATGAATGACTGAAATAAATCAGACCATGGTTCCCTCACTTTCTTCTACTCTGTCCTTAGGCAGGTTACTTAATTTTACTCATCTTTAAAGTGTGTGGAATGATGTTCATAAATAAGCTCATTTATTAATTTATAATAAGCTATAATTATCAAAGAGACCAGTTCAGTAATCAATACTTAGCATATGTGATAGATGGCCTCTCATTCATTATAGCTTACCCTGGTAATGATCCCTGCCTCCTGGTTTATGCCCTTGCGTAATCCCCTTCCACTGACTGTGGGGTGGTCTTACTGACTGGCTTTAACACGCAGAATACATCAGAAGCAATGAGATGTCTCTAACAAGATGAGGTTATAAAAAAGACTGGGGCTTCAGTCTTGGATTCTGTCTCTCACCTTCTTGGGTTGCTCACTCTGGGGGAAGCCAGCTAGCATGTCATCAGGCAGCCTTGTAAGTGATTTCAGAAGTGGATCCTCCCCAAGATGAGCTTTGAAATGACTGCAGCCACAGCCAACACTTTGATTGCAGCCTCTTGACAGACCCTGAACCAAAATCCAGCTAAACTGCTCCTGGATTCTTTACTCACAGAAACTATGAGATAATAAATGTTTCTTGTTTCCAAAATATTGGTGTAATTTGTTGCACAGTAATAGATAAATAAAACAGCACAGTAATACCTAGAAGATAGCAAGTGCTCATTAATGGTAGCCCTTCCTGGGAATTCTCTGGCGGTCCAGTGGTTAGGAACCCATGCTTTCATTGCTGAGGACCTGGGTTCAATCCCTATTCGGGGAACCAAGATCCCACAAGCCATGTGGCATGGCCAAATAAAAAAAGGTAGGTCCTCATTTATTGATTATATCTGGGTTCAGCATGTGATACTTAGCATCCTATAATGCCAAGTTAAATGACAGTGTTTACAGTTGCAGTAAGAGAAAGTATCCAGGATAAGTGGAGAGACTAACTTGCCTGATATGTTATTTGTAAACTATCTTTGCTTCAAGAGAATCATTAAAATGTATTTCATATGATGTCTAGGACTTGCTTCAGAATAATACAATGGGAGCAAGAAGGTGAGTAAGTAGGGGTTTAGGTAAAATAAAATTGGACATGTGTTGAAGCAGAATGTTTGGTACTTGAGGGTTCCTTATGTTGTTCTCTACTTTTTATGTCTTTTTGAAATTTTCCATGTTAAAAAAGTTGTTTTAAGTATTCCATGAAATTGTAAGTTTAGAGTTGAGGGGAATCTTTAGAGATTATCTAGTCTAATTAACTCATTTAATAGATGGGGAAATTAAGGCCCAGCAAAGTTTATTGACTTACCTAGAGTCTCCCAGTCTCAGTTTTGGTGATTTCATAATTGAGTATTGAGGAGAAACTACAGGTGACACTTGAACAACATGGGTTTGAACTGCGCAGGTCCACTTACACGTGCGTATTTTTCAATAAATGCACGCTACAGTACTACACCGTCTGTAGTTGGTTGAATCGTTGGATGTAGAATTGCAGATATGGAGGGCTGACTATAAAGTTATATGCAGATTTTTGACTGCATGAGGGGATTTGCACCCCTAACCCATGTGTTGTTCAGGGGTCAACTGTACTAAATTCATGGCTCTTTATTTTCCCAAACAGAATAACTTGCTCCAGATTTCCTATAATCCACACCTTGTAGACTAACAAGGTACTGGTTCCAGCCCCTCATAATCAGTTTTCAAAAACATAGCCTTTGAAGGCCTGGTGCTTCATACCTGTAGGCACTCTTAGTTATTCTTTTAGAAAGAGTTTTTAGTAAGAATGACATCAACAAACACTAGATCTGCTTTATTCATACGATATCTAAATGACTCTGTGTGTTCTGCTCTCCACAGGGAGCCCTAGCACACTCTTCTCTTTGTGCTGCACTCCAGTATCTTATCTGGCTGGGGACTCTGTCTCAACTTTATCAGAACAGGCTCATCTAGAGTCTTTCAGAGTTACTCAGCACATTCTTTATCCAGCTCTCTCCAAACACGGCTGGAGTAGGAGTGGGAAGGACTGACACAAGGCTCTTAGTCAGAGGAGAGTAAGTGTTCCCCAAGAACAATGTCCCAACAGATCATAAAGAAGAGTTTAGAGAAACTAAACTCTTAGCAGGGAGAGAGAAACAGAGAAAGATAATGGGCAGAGAGGCTGAACAGGAAGGTAGTCTATATGAATATCTGAGTCACAAAATCTGCTGCCCATGACTGGCTTTTATGAGCTCCCGACAGTATTTCAAGTGGAGGAAATAGTCCTCCACCCTCACTGAGTCTTTCCCCACTGTTGGAAACCAGTGTCTGTGCTAACTTGAATACCACTTTAGCACCTACCAAGTCCAAATATGGCCATCTGCCCTAAATGGCACTGGTCCGTATCCATCCATCCAGACATGTTCCTAGTTTCACAAAGGCCACAGGACTGTCACTTATCCTGAGCTCAGCACTTATCTGTTTCCTCCAAACCCATTTTATTCTGGGCCTCAGTTATGATATTCCTCACATCATAGCAAGTTGTCCTGAGCACCGATCAAAAAATAGTTATATTCTTTATTTCAAAGATTAATTTTTAAAAACATTTTATTATAGAAAACAATAAAATATAAACAAAAATAGCAGTATAATGAACTCTTCTGTATCCATCATCCAGGTTCAACTCATAGTTAATCTTGTTTCATGTGTGCCCTTCTGACTTCTTTCTTTGAGTATTTTGAAGCGAATACTCAACATCTCATTTCATCTGTAAGTATTTCAGCATGTATCTCTAAAAGATAAGGACATTTAAAAAACCATACCCACAAAGCCATTCTTGCCATTAAAAAACTTTTTTAATCAACATTTTAGTAAATACTTTGTTAATTTTTTTTAGTGACAAAGAACCTAGAAATATTGATATTGTGTCCTCTCTCACCCCTTCCCACTCCTTATGGATCTATTCCCTTGGATACAACTCCTGCCCAGAGGGTTTGAGTTTGCTGTACACCTCTTTGATTGGTGAACTAGTAACTAGAATGTTACTAGAATGTTACTGTCCCATTCCCAACTTTTTTCTAGTTTCCTCCATGCTTCAGAGAATGTAAGGTAGGGATTCTTTCCTTTCAAGTTTCCCCCCCTAAAGATGGTTCATTAGTCCGTTCAAAAACTCCATAATACATAAGAATCAGAGACTGCCTAAAAATCTCAAAAGTGATACTCTATTTCCAATTTACAGTTAATCTGAGTGCAATAGGCAAAATAATGCTTGACCTGCCCTAACAAAAAAAGAATTGGGATCTGATGCTGATACCCTTTAATACCTATTCAAATTTCCCCCTAGTTTTATAGTTCCTTTCACACAGAAAAGGAGAAAATGAACTAAAGTCAATTCTAGAAGCTGTCTCTTAAAGGGATCAATAGAAAACCATTATTTCAACCCCTTTTTGTTCCAGGTTTAAGCTCTTCTTCATCCTTAAGTGATCTCATTCAACTCAATGACATTAATACTATCCGTGTGTTGTTCACTCCCAAATTTACTGCTCTAGCTCTAGTTTTCCCTAAGCTATAGATTCAACCGTCAGACTACCTCCAATGTCTAAATGGCATCTCACACTTTACAGGTCAAAACACAACTCTTAGTTCCCTCCCTGTCTTGCATCTCCCCCCACAAAAAAACTATTCCTTTTTAAGCTACCTCATTTCCTCTCGGACCATCATCTCCTCTCGGACCAAATGATGTCCTCCTCAATCACCAGATTCAAAGGTGGATCAGCTGAACTGAAGACATCATTTGGCAAGCTACAGGAGAAGTGGAGCAGGGGTCAGCACTGGGAGAACTGTCCGGCATGTTCAGGGCCAGCGCCAGGGAGCCACACAAGGACCAACGTCTATACAGCATTGATTGCCTTTCAGTGGTGCACAACATGCAGTCATGTGACATTGTCACCTTAGCTGTGTGTTTGGTGGTTGAGTGTTGTGGTCCTTCCGTTGACAGCAGCCTGCACATAGCTGTGGTTCTTGACTAAGAGAGTGTAAGCCTGTGTCCTGAGACTTGAACCCCTAACCACATTGTCCATGTAAACAACTACCCCTTTTTACAATTTTAGGATACAGGCTAGGGTGCCTTGACACCCGCAGGAACAGTGGTAGTACAGAAGGAAAAGCCTTAGCACTAACACTTGGGAGGGACTGGGCAAAGATGAAACCACCACCCTATAGAGAAAACGTGTTAGATAAGCTGTGTTCCTGCATGAGTTACAATGCTGTTGACCATGAGTTCAATGTTAATGAATCGATGATATTAAATATGGTGTCTTTAAGCAAAAACACACATAAAACAAGGTGATGTGTTGATTGGTTGACACAAATGTTGTGAACAGAGGCTCTCAGAAACCTAACCGTTATTTCCACTAGGAACAATGGCTCAGTGTTTGCTAATTCAGTATTCTCTGCCTACCCTATTTAAAACAGCACTCACATTATATCATCTTGCCCTGTTTTCCCCATACTGGTCACTGACATTTATTGTCTGTTTATGTGTTTACTATCTCCCCTACCAGTATGTAAACTCCATAAGTATAGGAACTTTTATTTCATAAAACTTTAATTTTATTTTATTATCCTGGTACCTAGAACAATAGTAATACTCCGTAAATATTTGATGCTGAATCATTCGGATAATTAAGCAGCCCTTTTAGGAATCTGTTCTCTCCACCAATTTTCAACCTTTATGTTTCTGATCGTTTTTATGTCCTTAGGATTGCTGAAGCCCTAGCACAGATAAACCCCAACTGGTCCTGCATCTCCAATCCTGCAGATATGCCTGAGCATGTCTGAAATCTCTGGGACTCTTATTATCCATATTTCTTCCTTGTGCAATCTATGTAAGAAGGTTCTTTGAGTTGGATCCAGAGCTTTCAATATGATTGTAAACAATTCTATGATAGCAGTAACCATTAACTGACTAATGCCTAAAAGAGAAGAGCAAGTTACCAAATTCTGTCTTAACTGACTTGAATGACATGTTAATTCTCAACTAAATGGTTTATTTACTGATGACTGCTGCGTTCAAGAATTATTAGAAGGAATTCCCTGGCGATCCAGTGGTTAGGACTCCATGCTTCCACTGCTGTGGGCCCAGGTTTGGTCCCTGGTGGGGGAACTAAGATCCCGCTAGCTGCGCAGTGTGGCCAAAATAATAATAGCATTTTGAGCATGTCAAAAGGAAAATTATATTGTGTTTACTTTAGTTGTAAGGTTATTTGCTATTTTAATACTCTTTTGATGTGCTAATATCTCCTAATGAAGGTCATTAATTAAGAAATTAAAAGGAGAAGGCAAGATTCTGCAGAAAATTTACATCTATTCCCACTACTCCCCTAAACTACAGATCCATATTTCCTAGGACTTACTAATCATTCCACATAGATTTCTACAGTCAAATCAAACTCAGTCAAAACTGCATTCATTAGGAAAGAATAGAGCAGACAGTCTTTTGAATCCTAGTATTTTTTTAAATTGAAGTATAGTTGATTTACAGTGTTTCAGGTGTACAGCAAAGTGATTCCGTTATATATATATATTCTTTTTCAGATTCTTTTACATTATGGGTTTTTACAAGATATTGAATATAGCTCCCTGTGCTATACAATAGGTCCTTGTTATTTATATACTTTATGTATAGTAATGTGTATAGTAATGTGTATCTGTTAATCCCAAATCCTTAATTTATCCCTCCCCCACCTCACCCCCATCCCCGCCTTTGGTACCCTAAGTTTGTTTTCTATGTCTGTAAGTCTATTTCTTTCTTTCTTTCTTCTTTTTCTCAGGAAGAAAGTCTGTTTAATGACACAGCTGGGTCTGGTTACAAACATCAGAAACTGCAAAAGGAAGACAGGCAGTTACATGGACGGCTGCATGAAGATGGCACAGGAGGGACACAAGTACAATAGCCACAGCAGCAAAACATCCTTGAGGAAGATACACATGACCACGAGGCACACATGGCGGGTCCCCAGCAACATCTATCTAGATGGGTAGACAGGACCGACTGCCAGCCAGCAGCCAGGAGGGGAAGGGGAGGGAAGGCGCTGGGCGCTCAGAGCTCCAGGATGAGATGTCATCACTGCCCCACTGACAGCACCCTGGATCCCCCTCCCACCAGGGCTATCTTAGCGGCAAAGGCAGAGCTGGCATTTGAAGTTCCTTGACCATGGCCGCTCCCCCAGTGCAGTCAGCCTGTCCAGGACTCCTGGCCCCCTCTCTCTGCACCTTGGCCATTTGGGGGCAAGTCAGGGAGGCACATCCTTTTGTTGCGGGTAGAGGTAGGGAGAGCCAAAGCCTTTTTGCCTGAAGTGGGAAGCAGGAATGTGGGGAGCTGGTCAGAGAGAATGAGCTGGGCTTTACTGGCAAGATGGGTCACCCCAACCCTGCCCATGCAGGCCCAGGTCCTCTCTGTGCTGATGTGGGACCCTTGTCATCTCTGCCAGAACACTGTTCTCTGCCTGGAAGCTACCAGGACCCCTCAGTGGGCAGAACCGAGGCTTCACACGTGCCTCTGGGCCCTCCGTGAGTCTATTCTGTTTTGTAAATAAGTTCCTAGTATTTTTACTTACTCCCTGGGCAAGTTATTTAATGTCTGTATTTCCTCGTGCATAAAATATCCATCTTGCAGAGTCATTTAAGATTAATTATCATTTGCCACAACTATTTATCAAGCATTTACTATTGGTCAGTCACTATGCTAAGAACTTTCATTGTCTACTACTCCAGCCATACAGGTGAATTGTCATTGTGCTGTCTCATGAGATAATGTATGTAAAGCCCTGTCATAGTGACTGGCGTGTACTTGGACAGGGGTTGGCAGACTGCAGCCCTTGGGCCAAATCCAGCCTGATGCCTATTTTTATAAGTTAAGTTTTGTTGGAACACAGCCATGCCCATTTGTTTACTCTTTTCTGTGGCTGCTTTTGCACTATAATGGCAGAACTGAAGAGTTGTGACAGAGACCATATGGCCTGCAAAGAGAAAAATATTTGCTATCTGATCCTTTACAGAAAAAATTCACCAACTCTTATAGTAGGAGACCAACAAAAGTTACTTGGATGTACCTTTTTCTGGCCATGCCTCGCAGCATGCGGGATCTTAGTTCCCTGACCAGGGATCAAACCCGGGCCCCCTGCAGTGGAAGCTTGGAGCCCTAACCACTGGACCACCAGGGAAGTCCCCAACTTTGATGTACTTTTTATCCAAACAGGAGGCCAGAAAAATAAAGCACACGAGCAGGGCTAGATAGTGGGTCACGAATGACTACTTCCAAGGGTGAAAAGATTTTTACCAAAAAATAAAAATAGGGCTTCCCTGGTGGCGCAGTGGTTGAGAGTCCGCCTGCCGATGCAGGGGACACGGGTTCGTGCCCCGGTCCGGGAAGATCCCACATGCTGCGGAGCGGCTGGGCCCGTGAGCCATGGCCGCTTGAGCCTGCGCATCTGGAGCCTGTGCTCCGCAACGGGAGGGGCCACAACAGTGAGAGGCCCGCGTACCACAAAAAAATAAATAAATAAAAATAAAACAAAGGAAGAATAACAGAAATGGATGTAAATAGAGATCCTAATTTGTGACTTCCAGCTACATTGCCTACTGCAGAGGGAGCAGCCTCTAATACAGAGTGGCAAGCAACACGCTCATAGAAGAATTAGAATTCCCTGGAGAGAGCCAGGTAGCAAGTACTCAGTAAATAGGTTAAGGATGTAGAGCAGAAATCTGTTTATCGTGGAAAATGTCAGGAGGCAGAGTGGAAAGATTTGTAAAGGAAGAGCAAGAGCTGTGGTGGCTCTAGAACGTTTATAACAGAAGGAACTTAGGAGTGTCACTGGTTGAAAAAAATGTCACTTATCCATACCAAAGAATGGGTGTAACTGAAGGAGATCCTAGGAAATCTGAAGCTGTTCCCTAACATCCCATAGGCACTCTCAACCTCTCCACTATTGGGAGGTTGGGAGTGGGAAAGGGAAGCAAAAGTGTGGGCAGCACAAAAAGCCATTACAAAAAGGACTTATATTTTGAAAAGTGACTGAAGATGATGACAGGAATGATAAACATGGTGGTATCATCTGGCTTCATGATTTTCGAAAGGATTCTTATTATACACTTGCTTTAGCTTGGGTGGAAGCTCAGGTTGTAGGAGAATCAGTAGCCTGTTGAAGATGATGGTCTGATCTGTAGACTTTGTAGGCCAGAAGTGAACAAGTCTTACAGCATTAGTCCTTTAACTATAGGTAGTCAGCAGTGTTTACCAATCAAGTCGTTTTCATTCTTTAACCTGTTGGAATTACAGCAATCAGAACATCAGATTATAGAAAGGTAATTTGAAATATTTAAGTGGTTAAAAAGAAAAGAGAAAGTGAAACCATACTGTCAGAAGTTCTTAATCTTGCTTTTTGGTATGCTCTTGCTGTTTTTTCTTTTTTTATAAAATAGCACCATCTTTTAAAATGCTTTTTTTAATTTCAGAAAAGTCATGTAAAAGGATAGATAATGATTTCTGGAAAGTGTAAAAAATAAACAAGGAACCATCTGCAGTGTTGTTTCAGGGGAGTTCTGACTCATTAATATGTACTCTAATCTGTACTAGGTTTCTTTTTATCATTCAGGGTTTACAAGCTTTTTTTTACTGTGCATTTTGCCAGTCATGGCATCTCCAGAATTTTTAGGCAGAGTTCAAACTTGTTTCATATTGATAGAGTCAATATCTTAGGGTAACGCTTCTGAAGATGCCATCCTATTTGGGGGCAAAACTCAGAAGCATTTTTTACTTTACCTATTTAGATTAAGTTCAATGACAGCTTATTTTCTTTTTCACTTTGATCCTAATATTCTTCAGCTCTTTAATTTTTTAAACATATGAAAGTTATTTTAGAGCTGGACTTATAGACTGGTTTGCTCAGAAGGCACCTAAATCACAGCACTATTAGTAATGTTGCTCTGGTGTGCTGAAAATAAGGTTTTTGAGCCGAAATGTTAGAAAAGGGGTTTACTTATAGAGAAAGGCCCACAATTATGTATATAATTCAGCCAGAAAACGTGTCTAAATTACCATTCATATTAAGTAAAGAAAAGGCAAAGGGCTAGTAATTTTTCACTCATTCAGTAAGTATTTATTGAGTATCTACGGTATGCCTGCACTGTTCTGGGCACTGAGGATACAGCAAGACAAAACTCACAAAAATTCCTGCATATTCTAGTGGGGGAAGATAGACAATAAACAAGGTATATAGGAAAATAAATAATATGGTAGAGGGTGGTAAATGTTAGAAGAAAAATTATGCTGGAAAGGGGAAAGGGGGCTGTTGCGGATAGGGTATTTACAATTGTTAACAGGGATGCCAGTGAGCTTTGAACACTGTAATATAAAATGCTCTGGGGGGGGGTGGGGCTTCCCCGGTGGCACAGTGGTTAAGAATCCGCCTGCCAATGCAGGGGACACGGGTTCGAGCCCTGGTCCGGGAAGATCCCACGTGCCTCAGAGCAACTAAGCCTGTGCGCCACAAGTACTGAGCCCACATGCCACAACTACTGAATCCCGTGCGCCTAGAGCCCGTGCTCCGCAACAAGAGAAGCCACTGCAATGAGAAGCCTGCGTACCACAAAGGAGCATAACCCCTGCTCGCTGCAACTAGAGAAAGCCCGTGCACAGCAACGGAGACCCAACGCATCCATAAATAAATAATTTTTTTTAAAAAAAGTAAAATGCTTTGGGGCTTATAAGACACTTAGCTGGAAGCTTGAAGAGGGTTCCAAGAGACAGGAATTGGAACTGGTGGTAACTTGCCCAATTTTCTGATTACTTAAGACCTTATGCATAGGGAGAACATTATTTCATCCCCAGCCTCCCCTATCTTCTTCACCTCCACTACCACTTCTCCCTGCCACTTGCTTTTAATTTACCCAATTAAAGTGAAAGGGGGGGAAACAAGTGTTAGAACTATTTTTGCTTACATTTTGAGCCTGATGCATTTTTTAAAAAATATAAATTCTGATGAGTTCTAGAAATGGAAGCCATATAAGAGCTAAATTCCCATAGCTTTTGCTATTGCAGGTAAACTGATCACTGAATGCACCCTAGAATTTCTTTCCATTTGAGATATAGCACAGAGTCCTAGAAGGAAATGAGTCAAGAGTTTTGAGTTTTGGGTACCAGGCATGCCACTACCTACCTAGGCAACCGGAATCAGGTCCTCAGCTGAGAAACTCTAAAGCGCCATGATTCTTCTTCTTTTTAATCAATTCAAGTCATTAATTACATAAACCTAGATGAAATATAGCTTCCCTTTTTGTTTCAGGAAGTAAATATTCATGGCTAAGATGATTAAACTGGGTTTTGTGTATGAATTAAACAGAATATGGATGTTATGACTGAGTTACATGACTCTTTGGTCTCCAGGAATGTTTTTCATTAGGAGCATGTATCAAATTCTTTGCGTATATTTATAATTTACATCAAAGTGGATTTTTAAGTGTAGAAAAGATTAATTTGCATAAATTAATATCAATTTTGATTAAAATTTGAATAGCTTTAGAAAACTAGAATATTTATTTAAGATCAGTTTAGGGAAACTGTATTTTTTTGCTTTTTGACCACGGCATTATACATGAATAAGAACTTGGTAAATAATGATAATTAATTATAATAGCTGCCAGGCAGTTTGATAAGTGCGTTTTATACATTAACTCAGTTAAGACTTACAAGCACCCCATGAAGTAGGTACTGTTATTTCCTCCACTTTATAGATAAGGAATCTGGAATTCAGAGAGATTAAATAACTTGCTCAAGTCGTTGAGCCTAAATTTGATCCCAGGTTTATCTGACTCTGACTGGCTCATTATCAGTATTGCTTCCCTAGGGAAGAACGTTCTCATTTGATGTGGCTAAACACTGGCAGAAGAAATTGACAAGAGATTTGGGGAGAGTTTGGTGCATTTTGTGTGAAAGCAGGGATCTTGAGTAGATTACCTCAAGTGATTCCCATCTATCCCAAAGTTTGTACACCTGGAGCTGCCAGTTCTTACTTAAATTTAAAATATTATTTGTTGTAATTTATGTAACAAATGAATATCCATTAATCCTGACATTTGTGTTTTTATTTGCAAGAGAATCCTCAGTATGTCCTTCTGATCTCAGAAGATCATTCATTACAAGCCTATTCAAATAGTACATGCAAACTGCTATCAAAAAAACTAAAACTCAACTTTATTGTAACATAGCTTTTTGCCTTTACAATATGGTCCAAGAATATTATGCCTAAAGCACTTTTGATAACAATGTTCCAATCTATTTCATTTGGATTTATGTATCACTTAGTGTTTTTATATATAAAGGTACTTATCTTTTCTCTTGCAAGTCATTATTACATAGCAATTTATTAGTTCCAGGTTACTGAACACGGAGAAAAATTCTAACATTGCATGAGATATCTTATAATTTAAAAATTTTCACTGTTAGTTTCAATTAATCTAAGAAGTGTTTTTTACCCCCAATTAAATTTCAAGTAATATGCTGAATAGATTTCATTTAATAGTCACTCATGATTCAAAATTGTAGTATGTTGGCCAGCATTAATTTATGTTCCCTCAACTTGGGCCTTTAAATAAAGATACGTTTTTAGACATTGACTACAGTATACAAAAGGAAATTGTCAATTAATATATCTGCTTTCTTGAGGTCAGTAGATCACATTAGTGTAATTTAGCCATAGAAACAAGTGTTATAAAAATAGTACAGTAAAATAAAGCAGCTCTATCATGAAACTGAGCCATGTTTGGCTTTTCTATAGAGTTCCAAATCAAGTAAGTCACAATGAGAGATTATTTCCGCATAGAAGAGAATTCTCACAAAAGTATTGCATGAAAGAAGAGCTGTGTCTTAAGTGTCTAAGATATAAGAATTCTGTAGGGAAGTAAATAGGGATGTGGACTGAAGGGCCAGGGAATAATTCATGTACAAATAATCAGCACAAAGCATCAACCCTAGACACGGGTTTTGGCAGATTACCAAAATTGGTACAAGTGGACTATAGGGAAGGGTTTGGGAGGAAACATGCCCTAGTGTCTGCTAGAAGCCATCTGGTGATAATAAGGGAAGCCAGTCTCTGATGACAGAGCCAAATTACGTGGGGGAAAAAGAGAGAAATTCACAAGGAAATGGAGCCAGAGTGTGATTGAACTGAACCTAGAGCCCTATCCACCTCTGGACTTCCATTTGTGTGAGTCAGTAAAATTCCTTCTTTTTAAGGTCTTTTGAGATAAGTTTCTGATACTTGCAGCTAAAACATCTTAAAGGAATTCTTGACATGTTAGGAATCTTTACCACCTTTTCATTATATGTGTTGTAAATATTTTCACTTCAGACCATAGATTATCTTTTGTTTACCTA